CGTAAACATTTAGTATCTTTAACTTTCTTTCAGAAAAAATAAGTAGTCGTTAAAGGAACAACCGATAACCTAAACAATGAAAGTATCATAAAAAAGGTAAGACCATGTTATCTCAACCCTTCCTATCATATCCTGTCCATGAATGGCAAACATGAAGCATTAGATGCACAATGTTGAAGAAAACCTTGTCATACGTGAAGAGTAGAAAAAGTTTGGCATAACATACCTCAAATAAGGTTCAGAGAAACTACCATCACCGTCAAGCTGAAATGGTGTTTCTGGTGTAGGAGGTATAATCCCAACTCTTGCAAGCAACTTCCTTAAAAGCCTGCCACGGGGTCCAATGGCTGACAGAAATCCTTCATAGCGACTAACTGCTCTCTGTGCTGCCAACCAGATAGGAAGATCGCGATCTGATAGTTGGTCAACGTCTAGGGGTTTTCAGAATTTTTCTCATCATTAAGATATGACTGTTGAAAGAGAGAGACTTCCTCAAGCCAAAGCTTCAATCTCCTAACCCAGTTTCCTGCTTCGTCTTTCTGATAAGCATCTTTGAAAGCCTGTCCTAGAGTAATAAAAACGAAGATTGTCAAACGGAATAATATATTACTCAATTCAGGAGTTAAAAAACTAAAAAAACATAAGACACCTTGAAGGGTCACTTAAAGGGTATCAGTACAGTCCATATCATTCAGAGACCTTGTTACCGTGCATTAGCTTTTTAATATTGGAAAGTCATCTAGGAAAGGGAATTACCTCATTGAGGTTATAAGTAATCCACTTGCCAACTTTTCCCAATGGTTTTGATATGAAGGAGAAAATTCCCCGCAGGAGTCTGGATTGCAAGTAATCCAGCTTTTCAACAATCATCAGACCCTTCTGCCTCTCAGTTGCGTACCCCCGCCTGCAAGAAAGAGGTCATTCCGAATCCAACAACTTTACAAGTGAAAGCATGTAGAAAGTACATGCACATACACACTAACTACCGGAATATTATCGCATTGGATTCGGATGCTTTCTTCCAGTCCACATATATCGGCAAAGTAAGGAGATAGTCGGTGTTCAAGGCATTTGTCAACATCAAATCCCTAACTGATAGTTCTTCAAACTGAGCGTCATTAAGAAGTTGCATAAAAGATCTTTGGAAACGAGTAGCCACTGCAACTCTACAAGCAATTTTGCATTCAAGTATTAATTTAACTAAAGTATTAATTGATAACTAAAAGATTGATCTTAAAAACAATTAGTAATAAACTAATAATTCTGTGGCAGAATTTATGACACTTGCCTGGACTGGTCCTCGGAAACTCTCCTGACATTTTTAACTGAAGAATTTAGAAAATTCCTCAAGTCCAGTCCGTAATTGAACAACTTATCAGATTCGAAGCTATCGCCGGTGAACTTCGAGCTTTCACCGTTGGCTACAACTTCCGATTCTGAAACGGACGCTTCCTTTCTATTTCTCTCTAAGGAATGAAGATAGTAATAATCAGATCGCATTTGCTCCAAAATGCTTTGGTGTTCAGCGTGAAGGATAGAATCCAAACACCTGCAATTTTTTTACATCGTAAACGGAAATACCAAAGCTGAACAAAGTAACAATAAATCGTACGGGGGGAAAAAACTCACGATGCAAGGAGGCGAAATTGACGAGCATCCTCTTCTCGAGAATCGAACAGACTCGAAACAATAGCATCCAAGAGCTCCGCCTTGGAAACCGGTATGTATCTCTGTCTAGACACTTGAATTCTAGAAATCCCCGGTTCTTCCTCCTCCTCTTCATCGTCTTCTTCATTCTTTAACCTCGGAACAACATCGCCGGTATCGCTGAGAATCGAGTTAGCGTCGTTTCTGGACTCTAACGGCTCAGTGGACATGGCCCGGAATCCCGGAGGCACACCGGGAACCTTGAGAGCGGATACGGTCCGTAATAAGCCGTAAGAATCGATTGAACGAGCGCCAGATAAACGGCGCCGTTTCAAGGTCGACGACAGAGCGGTGACGCTGGTTTGAGTTTGCCAAGACAACATCGGGCAGTGAGGAAATTTTTGAACGCTCTCGCGGGATTTTCAGTTGAAGTTTATTTTATTATAAATAATTAAAAGTTGGGCAATAATAGCCAACGTGGGCGGTGACGGTCGGGAACGAGGAGGGAGGGAAGTGTAGTTGGGATAAGGAAACCGGGGGCCGATAACAGATTGGCCCAGTTTTTTTTTTTATTTATCGCTTTTATTTTCTTGGTTGTGAATTAATTGAAATTTTGACGGTCGGACCAAAGATTTTGCAATCTTGACTTGATGCGACGTCGTTTAATAAGTGGTTTGATCCCGAGGTGTAGTACTTCTGTTGGTTGTGGCGATTTTATGTTCAGATTCAAACATCAATCATTTGTTCGAGGTGTAGTATCTCTAGGATATGTGTAGTATCATTTATCAATCAATTAAATTAGTTAAAACCCAAAAAAATTATGTGGGACATTCTTGATTTAAAAATATGTTACAAATTTTATTATTATTTAAATAATAAAATCGGTAAAAAATTATCGAAAACATTATTATTTCGACTAGTTTTATTATTATTGGGAATTTTACCAGATTTGATAAAGCGCTATCGATTTTTTTACTGGTTTTGTTATTATTTAGTACTTTTTATTAAAAATATTAAAAAAATTGATGTTTTAAATAAAAATAATAATATTTTAGGTAATTTTTATTGATTTTTTTATTAAATAATAACAAAACCGGTAGCGCTTTATTTTAATCTCATATTAAGATTCCACACTATAGAATTTCATGTTAAAACCCTAGAAATGAAAAGATGCTTATTTTTTTCTAAAGAATTTAAAAATAAATAATTGTATTTTTAGGATATGTGTATTACTATTTATCAATTAATTGAAAAACAATTAAACAAATTTTATTTTGTAATCGTATTAGTTATTTAAATATATATTGAAAGACGGTTATTTTAAAAAATTAAACCATATTAAATTTTAGGGTAAAGAACACAAATGGTCCTCGACTATGAAATACTATTTTATTAAGTTTATCGACTATTAAAAGTTACATAATGACCCTTCGATTATAGAGTGTTGCTTTGTTGAGTCCCTCGACTATTAAAAGTTACAAAATGGTCACCCGACTATTCATTATGTTCCGAACTCGTCATTTTTCATTAAAAAATTGACGATATTCTGAGACTGACTGTGATATGAAAAAATATGATCTCAAAGTCTTAAACGACTATCATATCTCAATTATCATATTAACATCCAACTTAAACGATCACCAATTTTTTAACAGAAAATGACGAGTTTTTAGTATAATAAATAGTCGGGTGACCACTTTGTAACTTTTAATAGTCGATGGACTCAACAAAGCAACACTCCATAATCGAATGATCATTCTGTAACTTTTAATAAAACAATACCCTATAATCGAGGGACGATTTACGTTCTTTACCCTAAATTTTAAACACTTTGATTTCGATTATTCATTTACTCTAGATTCGTCAATTTCAATCTTTATCTCTTTTTTTATGATATCAAAATTTTCTAAATGTAAAAGAGTATCAAATAACACTTTTGATTTTATTTATAATGATGATACTGAACGATGTGAAAATAACTACAAGATAAAAATATTAGATATATACCGTTGATTATTTTTTTTAAAATAAATATGGGATGAATAAAAGATAGTATATGTTTAAAGATTCGTAACCATTTGACAATGAACGTTCATACCTCTGACATACGTGGTGTTCAAATCCGATACCTCAAGGAATAACAACAAATTCATTAACTACTGAAGTCGCTTGGTTCGTGCTTGATAAAAAAATTAAATATCTAAATAAAAAGTAATTAGTTTTCTATCATCTATAGGCTTGTAAACGAACTGAACGAACACAAGAGAAAGATGATAATGTTCGTTCGTTTATTTTTTATCTAACGCAAACAACTAAACTAACGAAATTTATTATTTTTGTTCGGTCGTTAAAGGATGTAGCTTGTTCATATTCATTCGTTATTATGATAAATGAACACAAACAATCGAACATAAACTAACATAAACTAATTCAGTTTATATTTGAGAATATTTTTTTCTTTCTAAAAAAATTAGGATTTATATTTCCTTTAATTGGTTTAAGGGTTTTTTATTTGACTTTTAAATTGATTGGATTTAAAAATATTAATGGATTTAAGGTTAAAATTTATTAGGTATTAATATTTTAAATGGGTCTGGAAGTTTGCTTGAATATAAACGAACAACCATAAACGAATGAACGTAAGACGTTCATACACGTAAATAAAAGAACGAGTCATTTATTTGTATTCATTAATTTTTTTAAACAAACATAAAATTTTGTTAATGTCCTCTCGTTTAATAAATAAACAAAAATTTCCACCAACGATTCGTTAAACGTTCCGTATATTTACGGGACTAATCATCTCAAAACAATTCTACATTTTTTTAAAGAGTGAAATTACTAAAATAAGATAAATATATTGTTATTAAACAATTTCCTCTAAGCTAAGTCTGTCATTAGTGGGATTTTAATGGATATTAAAATGGCGTTAGGGTTCTGAACAATACATCTTCACGAAGACAAAATTCGCGCGCATTCCTAGATCCAAATTTTGAAAACCGATGCTTTCTTCGCCAACTGCTAAGCAACTCCTCAAATTTCCAATTCGAATTCGCGCTCCCTTTCTATGCGTTAAGCATTCTCTTCATGATCGGTTCGATATGTTTTATAATTCACCAAACCTTTTCTGCGATCGGTTATGGTTACTTTTCTCTTTGCTTTTTCATGATGAAAGATGCTGTTTCAATCAAGGATACGATGGAAAGTAGGAGTGAAAGCTTCAAAGAAACGCATGAAATCAAATGTAAAACCTCCTTCATTTCTCTTTTTATTTCTCAATTGGATTGATATATGATTTGTGTTGCAAACATTAGGCGGAAGAGAAAGATCTGATGATTGATTTATTTTTCTCTTAAATTACATTACTCAATCCCAAAGGAATAGATGATTTTTTATTCCTAAAAGTGTTATTGTTACATCAATCACATAGAATCGGGATCTGAGGATTTTCGCCTCAAATTCAAAACGGCTCTGTTTAACTCTTCTTAGGTGCAAGCCTGCTCTTGATCTTGTTGACTTCCTTGGTACCGACTTGGAATGCCTTGGTCAACACATTATCAGGAACGGCCGGTGTTGAAGCAAACAAGGTAGCGGCAATAGACTGGGTTCCGGGAAACTGGCTGTTGAATCCGGCAATGACCGACGCCGGCGCGTCACCGTTGTTCTTCTGGAAATGAACAAGACCCTTGGGGAACACAAAAACGTCGCCCTTCTTAATGGATTTTGAGTACAACTTGTTGGCTGTAGTAATGAACCCTACATCCAATTCACCCTCGAGAACAAAGATGATCTCGGTGGCACGCGGGTGAGTGTGGGGTGGGTTAAGTCCACCGGGCAGATAATCGATGCGAGAAAGCGACACCCCAAGGGTGTTCAGCCCTGGGATTTGCACAACATTGGCGGCGGTCACCACAGATCCCACCGTACTGTTGATGACCGCAGGTTTAGCTAGACCGCTAAAGAAGAAATCGGCCTCGGTCACAACTACATCATTCTTGCACGCAAATCCATTCACCTTGACTCCTACAAGTAAACATGCATACATATTAGGGAATCATTTGATTAAGATCGAAATTGTTGACTTTTTTTAGACATTTTAGGTACCTGCAGATGCGTCAGCTACGCAGATATCTTGGAGAGGATCAGGGTCAGATTTAGCGGCGCTGAAGACGGCAACAAAGACTACGAAATATGCAAAGAACTTGACACCCATGGAGATTTAACAATGAAGAGAAGCTAGAAGGTATAATTATAGAATCCAGAGAAAAAGAAAGGTAATAGTTTTGATTTTTAGATGAGAAAGGAGGGGCTGCTCTGTTTACTTTGAATATGAAGAAAATATATGGATTGGGTGCTACCACTCGGACAGGAAAGCAATTTATTTAGCTGCAGATGTATGTTATTTTTAAAGCTTAATATAAAAGCAATGGTATAAATTATAATTAAAATTGACTTTTTAGTGTCTAAATAATTTTTTATTAAAATTAAATGTCTAATGTTTTCAATGTCACACTTTTAGGTGTTTACCTTCAAAGAAACCATTAAGTGACATGTGTCACATTCAGATTTTCTAAATAATATTTTATTTCTAAAAAAAATATAAATATAATACATGTCACTTAACAGTTTTTTTAAAGATATGCACCTAAAAATGTAATAGAGAAAACATTTGGTACCTATTTTTAACAAAAAAAATTCAAGCATCAAAAGTCGCTTTTTGACATAGTTTAGGTATTTATTTTTGTATTAAGCTTCTTTTAATAATATAGGTAAATTCTACCATTAATCCCTATATTATACATAAGTAACAAATGTATCCTCTATACTTTTATTTGATCAATTTTAATTTATACTTTTTAAACTTTTAAAAGTTCATCATTTACACAAATGATACATTGACAACATTACTAACTAAAGGAGTTAAAAGATAACTAAATGAGGGGATTTTAAGTTTATAAATATTTTAATTTGACCCCTCATTTTTTTAGCAACTACTAGGACATCAAAGCAATATTGAAGGAAATGGTATAGAGAATAACAGCATAACTTGACAGGAAAAAAAGGACCCTAGCAACCATTTTTGACCCTATAGAAGTATTTATTAGCGACCTGGACTTTTCAAGCGGACAATATGTAACTAAGAAGAAACCTTAAGATAATTGTAAGGCAATATTATAGTTTAATTCAAGTGATAAGTAGTTTAATATTATTTTAAAAAAATCGAGTTTAAATTTTTGTGTGTACAGAAAATTTCCGCTAAAAGACTCACTCACTAAAGTCAGATGTGTAACACAGATCAATCCAAATTAATGAAGACGAAACTTTAAAAACCAGAAGGCCAATAAAAAAATATTTAGTATTTTAAACACTCAATTTTGTAATGTTTATTTAAATACTGAAATTTGATTTTCTTTAGCAAGTGCATTAGTTAATTGCAATTGACCCCTCCCAACCGGCGCACATATTGCCGGATGATGCCAGGGCATAAGGCTTTTTTTTCCTCTTTTGGTAAAATGCCCAGGGGAGTCCCCGGGACAAGGGACTGTTTCTGAAATGGGACAGGTTACCAAAACTTTCAGATTTTCATTTATTATCTCAAACTTTGCTATTTATTCTCCAACGTCTTCCTTTAACGACAAATATGCATCACATTAAAGGTTTAAATAAGCTCTAAACAGGGTTTACTTTAGAATTATAGATAAATAAATTAGAATGAGCTGGTTTACCAACTGGTGTTGATGTTGCACCGGTTGTTGAATTGGTCCCATCTTGTTGTAGCTTACATTCTAAAAGATCATCAACGGTTGGTTAATCCAAAGTTCCATTATAGTTGTGGTTATTGAAATGCTTTGGATAAAGTAATTAGCTCCATCGTCTTGGCTTTAATGCAAAGTTAAGTAATGTGTGCTTTCTCTTCTTCGGAAATCCCCGGCCACCTCGAAAACTAATAGCGAAACCGACACGGATTTTCCGATGCCATTCCCAAGAACGCCGAGAATTTTGTGTAGTTGCTTAATAACTACCAGGGTGCAGTGGCTCATCAGAAGAAGAAAAACATGACGTTATCAAGTGCCCTTTCTTCCAGCTACTGAACCATAATCCATAAAAGCCTAGCCATGGCTACTCAGAAGACGGAAGGCGGTCTAATTATGGTTTTAGCCCCTCTTCTATGTTGCAATTTGAGACTCACCCATCTACTTCAATTTTGGAATAACTCGGTCCAGATTACAGGGAATAAATCCCAAATTTTAGCATAGTATAACGACTAAACTTGGCGAGTCGAAGTCGAATCCTAAGATCTACAAAACCCTAAACTTTAAACCCTAAATCCTGAGTAGGACACGTGACGTCAAAATAGATAGACTCGTGTAAACTAAAGTGTACTCGATCTGTGTATCAGATAATTTTCTTATATGTATGTATGTCTGTATGTATCTAGGCATTGGAATGAGAGATTTCCTTTAAAGCAGGAGGGAAATGGTGAGACCAGGATTCTCATTCATTTCTGAAATGCATAAATGATTTTACCCCTTCCTTGAAAAAATATTAATACTGTTGAAGCAATATGAAATTGTGACAAAAATAAGGAACAAAAGAAGAAGAAAAATCATCCAGAATACCTCCAAATTCTTCCCTCCAATGAAACCACCATAACCGAAACATCGTCGTGATATTTACGCCGGTCTCCGTGAGGTACGTCGAGCAATTCGTGAAAATCCATTCCTGCAAAAATCAACAAAATCCTATCACAAAAATGTGCAAAATAGCACTTCGAATTGAGTCACAGTTTTCACAGATTGCATTACAAATCAATCCGTTTCGGAGCGGGATGAACAAATTTGCATTTTTTGCAGTTTGTTTCACAAGAATAGAACCCTAACTACATAAGATGTAGTAGATGGACAGCATATTCGATAATCCTACCATTCTTGTTGGCAGCACGGAATAGAAGCTCTGCAACGAGGTATTGCGCAGGGTCACCTTCAGGAACATTTTCCATGAACCATGTGACATGGGCAACCACCTCTTCATTGCTGAAATACTGGTAAAGCCCATCAGATGATAGTACCAAGAATCGGTCACTTGAGGAAAGACGATGGTGAACAACAGAGGGGATGCAACTAAGATAAGGTGCATTTCCAACATAATCAATTTGAAACATCTCCAGTAGAGCTTCATTACAAGCTGGCTGCACCCGATAAGTGAAATGAACAAAGAACCAAATCATTTCAACACCAAATAAATCAGACAGGCCTTCATAAATATGGCCACCAACACGATGAGAGCAAGGAGCAAAAGAACGATAAAGAAATTGTCAGATTGTAATTAATTCACTCATAAGCATCACAGTTTCTATTATTTTTTCCGATTCTACTAGTTATTTGAAATATCTCAAATGAAAGATAGCACGAGAGGGGGAAAAAGTTGAAGTTACAGATTCTAGCTCAACCAACCTTCTTCAGGAAACCAGCACCGAAAGCTCTAGTGACTTTCAATTGCCCCTTCACCCTATCATTTGAAATGGCTTTGTCATCGTCGGGATGCTCTGCCTTTATTCTTATGATTTCCTGCCATAGACGGCCGTGAACAGGTAATTATTCCCTAAATGACATCTGAATTCACTTATCGTTTAAAAGCTATAAAAAATGATGAGCTTTGCTTATAGTTTCCAGGACATTACAAATAATCTAATATTTGAAGCCGTAATCTGGGGCAAATAATCAATTGACTGTTTATCCTAGTTATCCACATTGACAACAGCCATGGATGTACGCCACTTGGCAATACTACCAAACCAAGGCCACTAAAGGAAGATAAGTCCACCATTTTTTCAGCTCAACAACTTACAGTGCCTAGTCAGCAGTGCTCCTTAACATGGACTCTATCAGGTTAAAATCAAACCATCAAACAAGTGACAGAAAAACAAAGGTGTTCAAGTGATTCGATAATATAATGCAGATTTGGCTTTATCAATTGTGAACAATCTATCAACATAATGCAAATGGATAAAAAAGATTGTTACGCTTTGATCATTCTATATTCAAATGCCACATCCATCTATATTCTCCCTGCATGATTGTGATGAAAAGAAGATTCTCGCAATTTACAAGGACATAATGATGATGAATATCATCCAAAGTCCAAAAATGTAATAAATTCAATATCATAAATCATCAATCTTGAGCTTGTCAGAAAACAGTAGCAAACCTCTTCAACACTTGTGCAGTGGTCAGAGGAAAGCTGAACCGCCTTCATCTTCATTCGGCAGATAGAGATGTCTCTGTTCTTATTTATCATGCTAACCGGCCCATGTTGGTTATGCATAGGAGACTCCTCGGATATTCTGTCCAGCTCCATACGCACTAGTGACTCTCTTGATCTATTTCTATGCTTTAAATCATCCTTCAAAACAGATGGATTAGGGTGGCGGTCATTTGCTCTCTCTTGTGCCAAGATCACCCGGCTGTCCCCAAGGTTCATGACATATACATCCTGATCCTTCATTAACATCACTAGAACACATGATCCCATCAAAGCAAGCTCTGGGTTTATGCCAAGAGCCTTTTCCACCATTTCCATATAAGCCTCTTCAGTACTTTCTAGAGCTCGAGCCATTGCTCTCAACACAGCATCATGATCCACAACTCCAGACTTGCACCTCCTAATACGTCCCGAAGATTCAACTATTCTCTCATCCGCACAAATCTCATCTCTGGGCCAATCATGACTCCCAGGAAAAAGTTTCTTCCGTAATGACTTCTGCTTCTGATATATCTTTCTTATCTTTGATCCAAGAAAAGACTTTCTTTGACCTGAAATGGAAGCAGCAGTGGTTGCACTTTGATTATTAAAATCCCGCCCAACACCAGTATGTTCTCCTGAAGTAGTAGGATTTTCACATCGTACGTAAGAACTATCATCTTTACAATTTGATGAAGTGATGCATTCCATATTATCTGAAAGTCGATGACAACCACCACAAGAACCCTTTCCTTGTCTATCCATTTGTGAGAATGACAAAGAACCTTGACCGTCCCATGGTTCCATCTGAAGTAGTTCATATAGCCGCATGCTTTTCCTGCCTCTGCCAGATAAGTTTGCAAGTGGAACAGACTCGGATTCAACCCCTAAACTGGACTTTCTACAACTACATGCATACCTTTCATTGCTGTCCCTCACATCATCATTTTCCTCAGTTATTTCAATATTAGAAGATCGACCCTTGTTATTTTCTCCATTAAGTGGTTTTCCTACACTAAATGATGTTTCTTG